TCCACCCCATATAGGGGCTGAACCCGGGCGGGCGAAAAGAGAGACTCTCTTTCTCGCCACTAATGAACATCCAAACAACACAATCAAGCAATCAGTGTTGTTTGAATTTCCATTAGTGGCGTGACTTGTTTAACAGGAGCATCTCCATGTGTAGACGATGTGTTTTGGTGAGGTCTCGAAGCACCAATATCCCTGGGCATGGGATATCTAAAACTAAAGCGGCTACCTACGGCGACAGATCTTTCTCGGTTATCGGACCAAGGCTTTGAAACGACTTGCCAAATGTCATTAAACAGTGTTCCACCGTGGACTGTTTTAAATCAAGATTGAAAACTTTTCTTTTTAAGAGAGCGTTCTCAGATTAGGGCTTTTTGATTAGGGTTTTTATGTAAAAGGACTGTAAAAAGCATTAAGACTTCCATGTGATGTAAAATGTGTTTTTAAGAACCCATTAATTATTATTATTACTACTATTATTATTATTATTATTATTATTATTATTATCATTATTATTGCTTTGATGAACCTTACGATGTTTTTGAAGTTCATTTTTTTAATGAAGACAATACATGTTTCGGATGAGACATCATCCATCGTCAGTTTCACAGTGAGAAATAAAATGAAAATATGCAATAAATAGTATAACAAAGTGAGATACTAACAACAATAATTAAGGATGAAGGTGCGAACCAAAAAAGGGTAAAACTATTTAAGCTACCTGAAAGGAGACTAATTAGTATAAAAGGGATAAATTAAGGTGTTTGACCTGGAAATTTAAAGACAGCTGCTCCCAAAGGATATGCAAGGCCTCCTTGATTTTCAATTGGAAGCTTGTGGAGGCAGAGTCGAGAATTTTAAAACAATCTTCTGAACAAAGGGAGCGACAATTTTCAGAATTTCTCAGGTGTTTAAACATGTGGGAATGTTATTATTATTATTATTATCATCATCGTCATTATTATTATTATTATTATTATCATTATTATTATCATTANAAAGCGGCTACCTACGGCGACAGATCTTTCTCGGTTATCGCACCAAGGCTTTGCAACGACTTGCCAAATGTCATTAAACAGTGTTCCACCGTGGACTGTTTTAAATCAAGATTAAAAACTTTTCCTTTTAAGAGAGCGTTCTCAGATTAGGGCCTTTTGATTAGGGTTTTTATGTAAAAGGACTGTAAAAAGCATTGAAACTTCCATGTGATGTAAAATGTGTTTTTAAGAACCTATTTATTATTATTATTATTATTATTATTATTATTATTATTATTGCTTTGATGAACCTTACGATGTTTTTGAAGTTCATTTTTTAATGAAGACAATACATGTTTCGGATGAGACATCATCAATCGTCAGTTTCACAGTGAGAAATAAAATGAAAATATACAATAAATAGTATAACAAAGTGAGATACTAACAAGAATAATTAAGGATGAAGGTGCGAACCAAAAAAGGGCAAAACTATTTAAGCTACCTGAAAGGAGACTAATTAGTATAAAAGGGATAAATTAAGGTGTGTGACCTGGAAATTTAAAGACAGCTGCTCCCAAAGGATGTGCAAGGCCTCCTTGATTTTCAATTGGAAGCTTGTGGAGGCAGAGTCGAGAATTTTAAAACAATCTTCTGAACAAAGGGAGCGACAATTTTCAGAATTTCTCAGGTGTTTAAACATGTGGGAATGTTATTATTATTATTATTATCATCATCGTCATTATTATTATTATTATTATTATTATTATCATTATTATTATCATTATTATCTATAAGGCGTTTGAAACCAACGCCTGCCAAAAGCGTGATCGTTATACCAAGATACTGGTGGTGATGTTCGAATACTCAGCAGACTCGGAAAAGCTAAGCTGGAGGCGTGACCTCACAGCTCATTAACGGTCTAATAGACCGTTAATGAGCAATGCGGTCACGCCTCCATATAGCAGCACTTCCACATACACAAGTTGGCCCCGACGATATGGTATGACAGGCATCAGACCCTGAAGGAATGGAACAAGATGGGCCTGGATCGGAGGGCGGGATCTCATCCAAGGTTTCCGTCGGTAATGGTCCTAACTTACTGGTAGTGGTGTTCATATACTCACCAGACTCGGAAAAGCTAAGCTGGAGGCGTGACCTTACGGCTCATTAACGGCTCATAAAGTTTAAGTACGGTAAGCCAACGAAATGGGCTAAGATAGCGGAAGAATTTGATTTGGAAGATAACTGTATTTCGGAAGCCTTTACGTTGCCCATAAGAGTTTCTAGCGAACCCTACTTAAGATCTTTTCAATACAAAGTA